TTTGTGAATCATGTTCATTGTGGATTTGGAATATATTTGTATAACGTGATATATATTGGTAGATCATAGAGAGTATATTGTATTTACAACTTGCAATATATATTTCTGACTCATAGTTTGTGCATTTAAAATGATATTGAAATCTTCTGCCATACCAGCAGAAGATAGACTTTATACGCCAGTTGGGGAAGTTGGGGAACGTCCCCCAGCAGCTGCTGATCAAAATCATTGCAGACACCTCACCTCCTTTACACACTAAAGAGCACTGTATAATAAAGCCACCAGAGACAAGATCGGCTTTCCATACACAATCACACTCATCAACAGTTCAATCATGCAGTCAATGTGCATATAAAGTTATTTTCCTGTAGATTCGAGTAGAAAAGACACAGAATCAGAAGGAGCTTTATTGCCAAGTAGTGTTTTAAATCCATCCATCCATCCATCATCAACCGCTTATCCTGCTTACAGGGTCGTGGGGGGCTGGAGCCAATCCCAGCTGACATTGGGCGAGAGGTGGGGTACAACCTGGACAGGTCGCCAGTCCATCGCAGGGCCACATATAGACAAAAAATAATACAACTATTTGCAGAACATGTGCATTATTCTGGGTTTGTGTTGTGCAGACGTATTGCAACGGAATATATTAATTGACAATATAAAAATATACAACAAGGATTTAACAATTAACAACAAATGTGTGCAATATGCCAGGTTTGTGCATGATATGAAATGAAACAGTATTTACATGTGCAGAGACATTTGTATCATTTGCAAGGGGGGGGGGGGGTGTCAGTGGGGGACCTGGACCTTGTAAATGAGGCTGCAGATGGGAAGAAACTGTTCTTGTGGCGAGAGGTTTTGGTCCTGATGGACCGCAGCCTCCTGCCAGAGGGGAGAGTCTGAAACAGTTTGTGTCCGGGGTGGGAGGAGTCAGCTGCAATCTTTCCTGCTCGCCTCAGAGTCCTGGAGGCGTACAGGTCCTGAAGAGAAGGAAGACTGCAGCCAATCACCTTCTCTGCAGAGCGAATGATGCGCTGCAGCCTGCCCTTGTCCCTGGCGGTGACAGCAGCGTACCAGATGGTGATGGAGGAAGTGAGGATGGACTCAATGATGGCGGTGTAGAAGTGCACCATCATTGTCTTTGGTAGGCTGAACTTCTTCAGCTGCCGCAGGAAGTTCATCCTCTGCTGGGCCTTCTTGGTGAGGGAGGTGATGTTCAGCTCCCACTTGAGGTCCTGGGAGATGATGGTGCCCAGGAAGCGGAAGGAGTCCACAGTGGTGACTGGGGAGTCACACAGGATGATGGGGAGGGTGGGGCTGGGCTCTTTCTGAAGTCCACAACCATCTCCACTGTCTTCAGAGCATTGAGCTCCAGACTGTTCTGGCTGCACCAGGTCACCAGATGGTCGATCTCCCACCTGTAGGCGGATTCATCCCCACCAGAGATGAGCCCAATGAGGGTGGTGTCATCTGCAAACTTCAGGAGCTTGACGGACTGGTGACTGGAGGTGCAGCTGTTGGTGTACAGGGAGAAGAGAAGGGGGGAAAGAACGCAGCCTTGAGGGGAACTGAAGTCGGAGACACATTTTCCCAGCTTCACCTGCTGCTTCCTGTCCGTCAGGAAGTCAGTGATCCACCTGCAGGTGGAGTCAGGCACGCTCAGCTGGGAGAGCTTGTCCTGCAGCAGGGACGGGATGATGGTGTTAAAAGCAGAGCTGAAATCCACAAACTGGATCCTGCCGTAGAGAGAGGAGGGGAGGGGGTGGAGCTGGCCAACTCTGAGGAATGGGGGGAGGAGATGGTGGACTGGAGTTGAAGCTGAGCGGAGGAGTCACGGGGGATGGGGTCCGATTGACTCTCAAAGCGGCAGTAGAACTGGTTCATCTCATTTGCAAGGCGGGAGTCGTTGATGGAGTGGGGGGCTTTGGGTTTGTAGTTAGTGATCTGTCTGAACCCCCTCCTCTCTGAGTACAGTCGTTTAGCTTCTCGCACCTTCTTGCTAAACCTGTACTTTATCTGCCTTTAAGACATTTCTCTACTAGGGTTCTGGGATAGCTAATTGGGGCTCATCTACTTAGGAGGGCAGGTGCAATCAGACACAGGTGGTGCCAGAGGGGAAAAGGCCAACTAGTTTTTGACCGCCACTGATGCTGTGGCTGTTTGTTTGATAATGTGACACTGTCGATGAAGATGGAATATTTTTCCGTTACGGATATTGAAGACCGTATGTGTAACAATAAATCACATTGTTTCTGAACTGAACAAGCGGCCACGGTAAGTGCATCAACTACTTTAACCCTCTGCGTAGCCCTCAGCTGCTTTAAGCTTAGGCTTAGCTGTTGTACTGTTACTAAGCCAAGCCCACCTTAGTTACTTTTGCTACACATGTCAAGCTTTCCTTTTTACAAATGATTTTAGAGGCAGACAAAAGCAGGCTTCTCATATGCCATTAAAATTGACAATTTAAAGTATGGAAGCATTATGTAACCTATCTGTAGCTGAGAGACAAGAAAGGAGAGACAGTCAATTTTAACAAGTAGCTTCCAAGTTTATTTTAATCCAATCTTAATTAGAACAATGGAAATATGCATCTTATTTTACAAAATATTGTGTGTGCGCTCAACTCTGTAGTCAACAAATGTACGGGGGCCCGACAGGATCATGACAGAATTAGTTGTGTTTAGAAAGACACGTGAAGCTTAGTTCTGACAGATAACTTAACAACAATAAGGCTGTGAATATGTGACATTGTTGGTTTGATCAAATACAACCTCTCGTCCCATTGGTCCAAATGTAGAACACAGTCCAGCTTGGACGTGACTCTAGTCAACTTTGTCCCGTTTTTACACTGTAGTGAGCTAAGACCTGTGATATGCCTACCATTTATCAAAATAATCCACAAATCAACACACTTTGACCACATTTGAACCACAATGCAAATATAAATACAATCTAGTGAGGGAACCCTTGTCTCCAGTTCTTCTGTGGTTTATGGTGAAAAGCTGCAGTAATGAGCCAATCACCACATAGCATCATCACCAGAATTCAATTTCTTTGTGAAAGAGCAAAGAAAGGCATATTACCTATAAAAGGATTTGTAAGTCATACTTATCTGATTCATTGGCTCTTTCCAACAGATGCAAAAAGAACACATCAAACACAATGTCAGCCTACAGTTTCATGACTGATATATGTCAACATTGATAAAACTTTTAAAACCTTTCTTTTTGTACAAAATTAATCATTTTTAATACCATAGAAATGCACATATAGTATAGAGTTGTTTTGTTATTGTGTGTCACAGTTTAAAAGCAGTGCAGTAAACTCATCCAGAGTCACTTATACTGGCTACTTGAATCTGATGTGATTGCCAACAGCATCGCAGAGACAGAAAGACAGAGAGAGAGTTGTGTTTGTGAGGTTGTGACGAAGGCTTGCATCACCTGCTGGATTCTGCCGGGCATGGCAGCTGATCCGGCATTCTAGACAATGCGTGTGATTCTACCAGATGCCCCACAGAGCATTTCAGAAGCGTCGCGACTAGTCTATATCGATAGGCCATGACATTATGACCACCGGCTATTTATCGTGTAGGTCCTCCTTTTACCACCAAAAGAGCCCTGACCTGTCGAGGCATGGACTCCGCTTGACCTCTGCAGGTCTGCGGTGGTATCTGATAGAAGTTAGCAGCAGATCGTTTAAGCTTCGTAAGTTGCGAGGTGGGGCGTCCATGGATCGGACAGCGTATCCTACAGATGCTCGACTGGATTGAGATCTGGGGAATTTCAAGGCCAAGTCAAAATCTTGAACTCGTTCTGTTCCTCAAACCATTCCCTGAACCATTTTTGTACATGATCTGCAACGATGCTTAGGTAGGTGGTACGTGTCAAAGTAACCACCTTTGTTGGGAAACACTCTAGAAGAGCTTCAGTTTTTGGGGATGCTCTGACACAGTCCTAGCCATCATAATTTGGCCCTTGTCAAATCCTTAAGCTTGCCAATATTTCCTAGTTTCTAACACATCAACTTTGAAGATAAAATGTTGCCTAATATATCCCACCCACTGCTCCTGAAACGCTTTTGGTGGGATATAAAGCTCCACCGAGGGTGCAAAAAACCCTGTGTCCAGCCAGAACGCTTTGCGGCTGTGCCCGGTGGAACCCAGCTGTTATGCTGCTAAGTTAGTCTCAAAACCCACCCACATTAAAACCAGGCACATGTACCTCATGAGATATCAGTTCTGCTCTGCGTGCACAATTGAGTGCAACCGCTCAACACTCACTCACTCAAGTCAAGTTGACTTTAGAAGCGGGGATGGAATAGACAGTGGCTGATATCTCCCCTCCAACATATCTCCTACACAGTCAGTCTTCTCTCCTCAGGCTTTAGACTGATGCAGTCTGCATGTCTAAGTGTCCTTGGTGAAGATACTGAAACCCAAATTGCTCCTGAAGGCTGTGCCATCAGTGTATGAGTGTGTGTGAATGATTAGTTCCTTTCTGATGAGCAGTTGGCATGTTACATGACAGTGAGTGGTCGGAAGACGGGAAACGCGCTATCCAAGTACAGACCATTTACCATTGCTACATGTTTACAAGCTGTGTAACGATAATAAGATGTACTATATTTATGAGTGCACTGCCTGTTCAAAATCCTGATCTTACCTGTCCATAACATGACTGCATAACAGTTTATTCATTTTATCACTGTACACCTGTGAACCACAGTATATTTTATTTTACTGTGATGAAATTTATTCTCTCTCTCTCTCTCTCTCTCTCTCTCTCTCTCTCTCTCTCTCTCTCTCTCTCTCTCTCTCTCTCTCTCTCTCTCTCTCTCTCTCTCTCTCTATATATATATATATATATATATATATATATATATATATATATATTACATACCTATGTTTTAACTTTTGGACTATTTTATTTTTTGGTTTCTCTTTCACTTGTTTATATATATATATATATATATGTATAAACAAGTGAACAGGCGTGAACATATAAATTTCAGTCATTAACTACAAGTAGAAAACTCAAACACACCCCTACAGGTGTTTTCAGTTGTTCTGGTTTATTAGACCTCTTTACTAGATAATAAGGGGCTGTGCTGGGAATTACATGAGGTCACCACTGCTCATGTATTAATCAGAATGATAGTGGTGTAAAGTTGGGTGTACACTGAATGTTTTTTTGACATAAAGCCAAGGCTCACGATTTACTTTCACATTGTACAGTCCGACGGTCAAGCCACAACCTGAGTGCTCACACTGTGCACAAATAAAAAGGCCTTTCAATAAAGATTTGTTTGAAAGCTCAGAGGCAGATAGAAGTGCGTTTGTTAGCAATAATGCTAACAAGGCAAAAACGTGCTGCCTTGATCATCAGTGCCATCCTGTGTGTCAAAACGTCTAAAACAAAAAGAGGCACTGGTGTATATGGACTAGGTGGCTAGGAAGTGGACAGTGTGGCTTGTCCAGAGAGAACTGGGGCTAAGCTAGCTACACTTTACTGTACAGGTTGTTAACTTGACAGCTAGCATTGTGTCACGGTGGCACTTTCCGATGCTGTTCAGCACACCGCGCAGGCGCAGTGAGAACAAACGTACAGTGTATGTCCAGCTTAAGGTTTCTCACAGGTGTAACATAGCCTGCAGGGGAGCTGTCAATCAAACAGTTTGTACTTGAACACAGTCCTGAGTAAGTGAAAACACCTGTGTGAGTGAACCGAGTGAACCATGGGACCACTTCCATGTGCTTTAAGGATCACAGGGTGCAGTAAATCATTTTAAAATATTGTTTTACTAGAACTATATTATGGATTTTCATTTTTTTATAAATTAACAGCAAACTACGTAAACCTTAAATAACTGGCAGGCATTTTGCATAGATTGTGAGTGTGTTTTTCTTCCAGACAGCCACTGATTTGTATTAATTTTACACTATGAAAATCATCATAAAACCTGTTTGAGACAGTTACATTGCTGCTGTGTGGTAAATTAAGATAACTTTGACAAAAGTTAAAGCAATGATCCTCACTGTGATATCTCAGTCTCAAGTTCAAATCAAGTTGAGTTTCAGAAACATCAGTAATGAGCGCATGTGAATGCAAACACTAGTATGGGCCTTTAAAGTCTGGCTCTATGAGGCAAGGTCATGCACCATCTAAACTTTGCCATGTAGAAAACATCACAGTTGACAGTCCAAGATTTGCTCTATATGACTAACTGGAAACACTGATCAGTTATTGGGCAAAACATTTTCATAAACTCCTGTTCAACTGGAGAATGTGTAAGGCTCTTGTGCAGCAGAGCACAAACAAACATTAGGCTCTTCCGCACCTCATGCAGATCCTGGATCAGAGCCAACTGTACACAGGGAAACAATTCATGAGTGCTTTTCTTGTCACACAGCAGGGATTTTAAATGATCATACATCACTGTTGTTTTTGCACAAGTTCTGCATACTTTACATTACCATATTATTTTAGAATTAGAATGTGATTTTCCTTCCTTTAGGCAATGATAATTTTCCACTGATTTAATTAACTTTAAGTAAATCAACTTTTGGAGGCCTGAAGCAGTGACAACAGATGGCATGTCCCATGCAAGTTTCACAACTCAAAAGTTCATGTACTTCATACAGCATGCTTTGAGAAGTTTGGCATGTAAATGTAATGCAAAATCATTTTGTATGGCATAGATTTCAAAAAACTCATGCCTGTCTTAGTAGAAAGAAAGCACATCATGAAATACTTCAGCACAGCAACTTTGCAGATCCTTTCACAGTTTGAATGTGGAAATTTCTGCTTATGTTAACAGCTGACAGGAATAAATGTTAGAGCCAGGCTGTTTCCCAGAAAACACAATGAAATTCCAATGAAATAGTGTGTACTCTGCAGTCAACATTTTATAAACCAACAATCATTTGGAAACAGACTTAATCTGACTGCTTCACTATAAAATATAGTATACCAGTTTATTTCAGTTTGCAGACTGCCGTTTACTTTTATAGGTCACAAGACACTGTCCATCCATGACGCACCACATGCCCCTCTCAGTTTCCCCTCTCTAGTTTTTACTGCATCGGCATCCCACTAGACTACTTTCTACACTGGCACTCAACGTGTTAACATAATTTTCAAAACAAGAAAATAAACAGTGATTAAGTCAGTTTAAATGTTTTATCCAGCACTGGGTTTGCTCCAAATTTTCTGAGTAGGTCCAAACAGACTACAGTTCTGAGTTGAATTGTCTTTCATCTTTTGGATAAGAACTGTTTCCTCCTAAATGTCTAAATGCTAGAGTCAGAAGAAGCCTGTGTGTGAATGACTTTAAGGATAAACTGGAAAGTACCACAGGAGACACAGCATCAGGAATCAGTGTAGTGATGTTACAGGAGGTTAGGGTGCATGTCTCCCAATAATAATTTCATGCAATGAGAACATAGAATGAGGACGCAATTTAAAAAAATAACTTTCATAACAAATATTGATAAACTAACATGGATTTTGGGATAAACCCTTTTCATTTTCATGAACTCATGTCCTTTTCTCTACCATCAGTGCCATGTTCACTGAAATGTGTGTGTGTTTGGAAGTCTCCTTCGTCGTAGACTCATGATTATAGTGGCAATCTCCACCAATTACACTACAAATGATGGTACTTGAAATGAAGCACTTCCACACAGCTTCTATGATTCTCGTGTCTGGGAGATTTAACCGGGTATTTTGTGTGTAATAATGCTGGTTTAAAGCACTCTTTTGGTATGAAACTGTCACATTGATCTTTAATTAGTTTCCTTGCCACAATATGTGAATTCCAGGGCACCGTCTAATTTTTTACTTCCCGATTGTCAGATTTTGTTCCATTCCTCAGCAGAATGAAGATGCAATAGATTTGCAGTCAGATGGATCAGTCACTAGTGGAAAATTATTTTAAACTTGTACATTTATAATGGCTTTAGGACTTTTAGGAAATATCCGTGTGCTGGATATGTTTATGTATACTATTCCAGCCTCTTTGAAATAAGAGACTGTCCATACATGTAAATAATAAACTCTGTTTTCAGACACTGTAAGATTTTAGAGAGAACCCTGCTGTATAATTTAGGAAAAATTATCCCATCATTCTCCTGTATACAGAGATCATACTTGCTACCTTTGGTGTGTCTGTACTTTGTAAGAACTGATATGAGATATGAACTATATGAACTGATATGCCTTCAGAAACAGAACATTTTGCAAAGTGAGGTCACCCTGAATGGTTCTCAAGGTCTGGGTACGGTCAGGGTTAACGGAAAGGTGAAATACAGGTAGTAGGGTACAAGGGTACTGCTATTCAAAAGCTGAAGTAGTCAGATAGAAGCCAATCAGCACATACTGTATATGAATAACCTTTGCTCTTACTTCCTCTATTGCTTAAGTACATCTTCATGTCGAAGTATCTTATAAAGAACCCAGTAGAATATATTGAAGAAGAGAAAGGCCAGAGGGAAGCCGGCCCTCGACACAGTGTCAATCTTTTTGGCTCTGTCAATAAATAACTTCCTCATCTCTTCAACGCTTTTACCCCCTCCACCTGCTGCCGCTCCAGGTGGATTCGGGGTAGTGTTTGCTGCGGCTCCTGAGGTGTTCAGTACAGCAACAGTATTGTTGGCGCTGGCCTTTGAGTCCTTGCTGTTGCTGGGAGTGGAGGTCACAGCAGCTGAGGAAGTCAGTCTGCTCTCATGTACTTTCCCTTCCTGTTGGAGAGACAAAGAGGACGAGGGGGGGATCATGGATCAGATAATAGTGCTCATGTATTATTCTCTTCACAGACTGTATGTGCCACTGATGGGCCCTGAGTGTGGGTTAAATCAGGGTTAAGTCTATATTCAATGTTTGCTTTGGATTATACCGGTTAGTACAGAAATGATAACGAATGAGTCATATATTCTGTGTCATACTTTTTGCCATGTTGTGGAACCACTTAAAGTGAACTTTTGTGCACGTAGTTCTTTTGCAAATTTGCTATAGCTGGATTTAACAAAAAAAATCTGGCAGAGTGGTGTTTCTATCTCTTCTTTCAATTTTATTGATAATCTTTGCCGTGTCTCTTACAACTCTCAATGTTGAAAACTGCTACATGCATATTATCATGATGGAGATGATTAATGATCATGATAATCATGGCTCAGTGCCCCTGTCCACGTCTTTGCTAAATCCTGCAGAGAGGGGAGGACTTACAACAACACACTAGTTGGATCATGCAAGTGTGACATGCACAAATACATGCAAACATGCACAGACACACCATTACCCTGTGGTCGCTGCCGTAGATGTTGGTCATAGATCCATATAGAGTTTCTGTTGGTTTGAGGCCGTTGTCAATGTTAACACGACGAAGGGAATCAGCTAGCTCCTCTGGATCAACTGCAGCTCCACTGTTCTATCAGTCGACAGCATGCACACCAGTAATCAACAGACGGAAAACAAAAGGAAAAAAAAAAAAAATAGCATCCAAAAACAGGGTTGGGACACTGATTCATTCAGTCCACCTATGTGTTAATTGTTTTAATGATAATGCTGTCAATGATATTTTGTCTGGATTGGTCTAAATTCTGAACAACTCAGTTAACTTTATAGAACGACTGACAAATAATATAAACTAATCAATGCTGAAATCATGGACTTCAGTTTGAAAACTTTGTCCTGAGTTGGACTCAAATGAATCCAGTGTTATTGTCTTTATAAACATCACTCTAGCTGAGTGAGTGGAGGGGCAGATGGTGTGGCTGGCCTGGGCCCACAGTTCCCTCCAGTTATTAAGGTCTGACTGACTGAATCTGCCTGACTGAACATGCAGTTATGTAGTTTGGCTGAATATATTGAATAAAGTTTGTGTCTTGATTGTGGCAAAAAAGAAAAAGTCAGACTTTTGCAGAGACAAGCCCCCACAATTGCCAAGAGTTTCTTCTCTTGTGTAGCAAACAGCACCAGCATGGACACTGTGGCCTGTTTCGCTGATTCCACCCTCTTACCTCCTTAAATGGGCCCCTTGCACTCTTAATTGTTTGGGGGGGGATTTTGCTTTCACAAAACAAACCCTGGTGTGTTTGCTTAGTTAGTTTGATCCGTTTGGGCTGATGTGAAAGCTGTCAATCGAACTCTGGTGGAACCAGAATAACAACCAGAACAGGGGGGTCTCAGGTGCAGTTTGCTTGTGATGCGATATAAATATTGATGCCACTTAAACTCTTATTCCCTAAAAATGGCACCCACGTGTTAGGCGTAGTAGTGTTGGCAATTTTGCTTTCCAGCACAATTTGGGGCCAATATCAATATTTTTCATTCCACTCTAAAGTCTCTACATTCAGCACCACATGTCTGCCACAGGAGTAGACATGCAGCTGTTCTTACAAACAAGTGCACTGAGGAATGAATTTATTCTTCAAATTTAGCTAAAGCAATTTCAGTTTTTGGTATTGATAACTACCACTTTAAACCCTTTATCAGTACCCTAAGAACTTTCTACTCATGCTATTCAAGTTGAACCTAATCTGTAGGAATTGTAAGAATTTCATTTCAGCATAATCAGTGCAATCTAGTCAAGCTGACAGAATTTGCTGTTAATTTAAGTGCTCCTCTTTTTAATTAAGACACAGCGTGCCACCGACCCTGTGGAAAACACAGTTGTGTACATAGCTATTATTGCGACGTGTTCCAGGCTGAATCAACTTTTAGAGACCATCCTCTGACTATCCTGAATGTCAGTTAGTGTGTGTTAAAAGTTTGGTAAGCACTTACTCTTGTAAACCTACTTTGCCTTTACTGGCCCCAGTGTGGTATTCCCACTAGAGCCACTGGATTGCTCTGTTAGGCTAGTGTACTACACATGTTACATTACAGTAACATTCAGTCTGTACTTCCACCGGCAAACCAGCATTTCAGAGAAAAGCAACCCTAGAAATGAAGCTACCTGTCTTCCCATCTCTCTGAAACAGACATTGAGGAGATACGTAGTTTATCCTCCCTGAGATATCCGGTCCCATGTTCTTTTCAGCCACTGATTAACAACACAGATGAACTCAATATCCTCTCAGGTATTCCGCAGGGTACTATTATTGGACCTTTATTGTTTTGTCTGTACATACTACAATTATCTGTGATCATGGAGTGAATTTTCACTTTTATGCAGACGACACACAGCTATATTTATCTGCTGCGCCTGACAACCCCAATGCTCTCAACCAAATAGTGGAATGCACATTTGAATGTCCATCATACACTGGATGAGTCAAAATTTTCTAAAACTAAATGGGGACAAGATAGAGTTCTTGCACTTTGAATTACCTTGTTGTTGAAATGTGCTATACAAATAAACTTGCTTTGTCTATGTGACGAAGTGGGTTTGCTCACCACTTGTCCCATACAGGCCATGACTTTCTAGTTTATACATACATGTTTATGTTTTTTGGTAACTTGCCATAGCTTGTGTAAAAGTGCACCACTTACTATTCCGGGTTGTTTGTGTTTGTATTATGTTACAGGCGAGTGCAAAGCATATGATAAGTTAGAGTAAACACATAGTCATAAGTTAGTTTCAGCTCAATTTTATTAGGTTGCAAGTTTAAACTTGGTTTAATTGTTTTCCTGTGTTAATACTTACAATTGTTTGTTCCTTTGTTCAGTTCCACCATGCAGGATAATTGTTTGGGGAGGAGCCGGCCTAAGTATTTCCTGTTTTATAGGAATAGGGTGGTCATGGATGACATCACCGGGCCAAACCAAGTAGAGGGTTTTCTTTCTTTATAGGAATGTTTTTCTTTTGGTTGTTTTTGAGTATTATGAATAAATGTGTGAATAACCCTGACCTGTTTTTTAGGCAGTGGGAGCAGAGTGAACTGATAACGAAGTTCCAAATATTAAGAGATTTCTAGATATAGATGTTGTGGAGTAGATCAACCTGCATCAGAATGGGATGGGCTGAAGCAGTTGGGTGTGAATTGACCACCCTATATAAACAGGGGGAAAAAAGGTGGTGAGGGTGTGTGCCGCTGTGAACACGTGCCTCGTGTTAGTGTTGCTATAAGTTTGATGTGTTATTTTTCTTTTGTTATTTTGGATTGAATTATCCATGTACTGCCGACCATGGTCAATAAAATAATCACTTCTGAGTCTGCCTACCTACCACCTTCCTAGCCACTCTGGCCAGGCTACACCACAGTCTAGTTGGCTCTAAGACAAAAAACTGATTATTTCTAATATTTTGCAATGTCTGGCTGTGCAGGAAAAGACTTATTGACTCTGAGTTGGATTTTAAATCACATTTTAACATTGTTACAAAGGTCGCAAACATTGCCAGAGTTAGATGCTTTTGTTTTTTCACAATTGTACTATTGTAATGCACTATTTACTTGTATACCCAAACAATATATTAATAGGCTACAACTAATTCAAAAATGTGGCAGAAAAGAGTTTTAACTAAAACCGTAATGAGAGAACACATCACTCCACTTTAAGCTTCTCTCCACTGTAGCATTTAGAATTGATTTTAAGCTCATTTTCAGGTCCAAAATCCTATTTAAAGGGTTGTACCAGAACAGGTTTACATGGTTTAATTTTTTTCATACTACACATTGTTGCAGCTCCTCTTTTCACCCTGTGTTGAACAATAATAATATTAACATATTTCTATAGTGCCTTTCACGAGACCCAAGGACGCTTTACACATAATTGCAGAGACAGAGTAACAAAAAGTCATTCAGGGTTGCTTGCTTTGTGAAGAGGTTGGTTTTTAGGAGTTTTTTGAAGGTGTCCAGATAGGGAGCATTTCAGATCTCTGTGGGGATGGAGTTCCAGAGGGTGGGGGCTGCGACGCCGAAGGCTCTGTCCCCAAAAGTCCGCAGTCTGGTGTGGGGGACAAAGAGCAGGGGAGTAGGGGTGGATAAGGTCCAGTAGGTACTGGGGGGCAGTGGCATGGAGAGATTTATAGGTGAGGAGTAAGATTTTGTAGGTGATGCGGAATTTGACCGGGAGCCAGTGAAGCTGAGTGAGTATTGGGGTGATGTGCTGCCACGACCTAGTGTGAGTGAGAACCCAGGCAGCCGAGTTCTGGACATATTGCAGCCTGTCCAGGACCTTGCTGGGTACCCCATACAGGACACCATTACAGTAGTCCAAGCGGGAGGTGATGAAGGCATGGATCTCTGCCACAGAGTCTAAGAGTGATGGTCGAAGTCTGGAGATTTTTTTGAGGTGGTAGAAGGAAGATTTGGTAATAAAACGCTTCGTTTTAGCTCTGGAGTGATGCATCTTGTCTCTAAGTGATCTTTGTTGGGAGTTGCACATGCTCAGTTTCTAGTTGAGGACTACTAGCCAATCAGAAGCAGAGTAGGGCGGGTCCTGAAAAGCTAGTAAACACAGCTTAATTTCAGCTGTATATGTTGGCAACATGGACTGGAGCAAGAGTTTCAGAACAAAAGTATCTTTCATCCATAAAGTTTTAACTGAGCTCTGTCTCTACATCACAGGAACAACTTTATGTCCACTGACTGCCTGGAGGGTAGCTAGTGTTTGGAAGGGAGAGGAGAGCTGTTTGCTGCTACTTAGTGTAACTAATTACTTTTCTAAAACAGTAATTAGTTACACTACTAATTACCCCCTTCCACTGTCATTCTGTAGGAAACACTGGAAAGTAACTAGTAATGTAACGAGTAACGTAAGTAATAAGTAATAATATTACTTTTTTAAGGAGTAATAAGTAGGTAGTAATATATTACAATTTCTGAGTAACTTGCCCAAAACTGGTTGTAAAGCAATTTGCAGCTGCATTTTATATATGAAAGGTGCTAAACAAATAAAGATTATTATTATTATACACATTCATCAATGCTCATGCATTCTAGAACATTTCAGTACAGCCTCCTCTCTGCACTCCCACGAGAGTCGTGATGACAGCTGTTCAGCCCCTGCCTCTCAGCCAGAGAGAACTGAAGGATGTGATTACTAGAAATGAGCTCACAGTCTCCCCGCCCTGAAGTGCTTGAGTTTATAGCTAAAGATATTGAACGTTTTGATCCAGACAACTGCAATCATCACATCGATGATTACTTAAGGGAATTAGATCACAGCCTAAGGTCAGCTCAAAGAGAGAAAGTTGAGTGGAAAAATTCTCTTCCACTGCTGACGAGATCACAGCAACAGTTGCAGCCCTCAAAATTAAACATTACCAACCAATCCAAGAGATTACTACAAACCCTTGAGGCATATGTACGTAAAGGCAGCTATGACAGCAGCAAGGCATAGCTTAGTTGTCAATTATCATGTAATCAACAAACACAATCCCAGTAGTTGCAGTTGCTAGCACTTTTTTCTTGTCTATTCCAGAGAAACATATATAATGTATTGTCAGTGTTAGATTTTAGTAAACTACATGATTTTGTAAGACTGTGGTAGGTGGACCTCAGACCCTGTAGGGAGGCCAGGGGCATGCTCCCCCCTCAAGAAAATTTTAGGAAATTTAACAGTTCAAAATTAATTGCAACCATCTGGTGCACTGAGAGCAAAATTAAGAGGCTAAATCTATGAAGGACGTTGTGTTCTTTTAAACATTGTTGTGCTCTAGGAAACAGTTTAATCATAAACACATTCAGGATTTTCCATTGGTTTCTGGAGGGCTTAGGGGCTGTGGTGGGTGGTTTGACTCAAAAATTAGCATTTTCACATTGTTGACTATTTTCATTACAATATTAAAAACAGGTTGCAGGTTTTTTTTGCAAGACAAAAAGTGACAATAATGTTCACTCATGGACGATGTTAGGCCTATTTTAGGGGGACTGAAGCCGAGCACGAACTGTACGAGGTCACTATTGAAACTGAAGGTATTTTTTTTTTTCTTCTGCAAAGTAAGCTCATTTTTGGCACATGCTCGAAAACTCACCAAACTTTGCACACGTCAGAAGTGAGAAAAATTAAGTATTTTAGGGGTCTTGCACATGGGCGTGGCAAAATGGCTCGCTAGTGCCATCTACAAAATTGGACATTTTTTTGGGGTACATGTATCATATCAAGACACACCAAAAAGATTCAAGGACCCGTACCCTTAACGCAACAGGAAGTCCGCCATTTTGATTTGAAAGTGCAATTTTAACCTATTTTATACCACTTACAGGATGCATACTTTAACAAACTCCTCCTAGAAAATTTATCCGACCGACTTCAAATTTTTTACGATTAAAAGTTGTACAAACTGAGTTTTCTTGGAACGGCGTGTCCGTAGCGTGGCGTCGAAAATCAATGATTCGCCACAAAAAAGGAAGTTGTTATAACTTCAGTGTACATGCTCACATCTGTACCAAATTTGACATGGATAAAAAGTCCTGCCCTGATCACACCCATATGCCAACATTCATTCAAAAGCATAGCGCCACCTGTTGGCAACAGAAAATGACACGTTTTACGCTATGATGGAGTACTCCTAGCAGAAAACCCTTAACACATTGACGAAGCCATGTGGTGGTACTTTGTAGCTTATTAAAGTTTAAAAGTTTTCGGTTAACGGCATGGCGATGGCTTCGCCGTGACACAGGAAGTTTTACATGATCAAATCTGTATCAAATTTTACACGTTCGATAAGAGTCCCGCCCTGAACACATGTACATGCCGACATTCACCCACAGTCATAGCGCCACCTGCTGGCAACAGGAAGTGACCTTTAATGAAACAGCCCCCGCCGCACGTTTCACCTACATGTATGAAATTTCTGTGGCACATGTATCATGTCCAGACGTACCAAAAAAAACTCTCGGAGCAATTGGTTAAACCCAACAGGAAGTCTGACATTTTGGATTTAATGGTCATTTTTGGAGATTTACAGACTTTATACTTTAACAAACTCCTCCTAGGGATTTAGTTCTATCGACTTCAAATTTTCACTGTGCTGTCTAAACCCACTGACGATTAAAAGTTGTTTATTTTATATATATATATATATATATATATATATATAAAGTTGTTGGTTATTACCAGTCGACCAGTTTGCCCGTGGCGTGCTGTCGTAAAACGATGATTTGCCATGAAACAGGAAGTTGTTGTAACTTCAGTCTACACGCTCACATCTGCACCAAACTTTACATGTTTGATTAGAGTCCCGCCCTGAACACATCTATAAGCCAAAATTCACCTGTAGTCACAGCGCAGCCGGCTGGCAACAGGAAGCGACTACGTTTATGCTGTGATTAACCCCTTCTTGCAGGTTGGCTATTTTCTACACATTGATGATGTAAAGCGCGTGAGTTTTCCTTCCACAGCGTATCTTTGGCTGTGCGTCATACCTTGACGCGTCACACGTGCGTTTTTTATTTATTTATTTATTTTTTACAGTGCAGACATGTATTCAACAAAGAGAAGCAAGAGTATTAATAAATACTATAGAATAATACAAATATGATTTGTATTTACAGGCTTAAAATAATCGTTCTGTTTTTTCCTCTGCTTCACAATTTAAATCCCTACTGTGGTTGGGCACTAGGACCCTGAGGGAGCCCCCCACACACACGGTGAAGGAAGATTGATTCAGTCTAGTGAGTGATACAGAGTTAAAGTGTAAGTTGTTGTTAGTGACTGTTACTTGCTGAACCTAAGCTACTTTTATTTGAGGTAAAGGGGATATTTTAGTTGGCCCTGGAAAACACTAGTAGCCTATTTCACAACAATATCAGTCCCCACAGAATGTTGTTTTTAGTGAAAACTAAATGTCCCTGTTAATGCTGTCGCACAGGTTACACTATATTCTTCCATTCATTGACCAGATGGATATTGCAGATATTTTAGGAGAGAGAGAAGCAGGAGATTGGCAGGGCAGCTGAATATAAGGAACAAAAAAGACCTACTGAGTATGGGGTGGTCCAGGTTTAGGGACACACATACATTTGCACAAGTAATATCTGAGTTTAATCACAAGTAGGTAGAGAACAATCTGGTAAAAGCGAGTGTGCAAAACAGGGTGCAGATGGAGATGCTAATGGCAGGTCTAGTATGGCCAAAGCAGCACATTACATTTTAGGTGACTTGTTGATATCATTAAGATCTTTAGTGAACATTTTCAAATCTACCTATTTCTATTAAAAATATATTTTTTAAATCAGCAAGTAATTTTATCTGCATCTGGGTACTAATATATATATATATATATATATATATATTTTACCATCAAATTTATTTCACAACAATTCAAAACAGAGCAGATGGACAGTCTTTGTCATATATCAATAATGTAAGTATTCTGTATATTAATTTACTATTTTACTTAGTTGCCTCTCTAAGACAGAAACAAACAAATTCAAATAAAAGGAAATACTGTTTGTGAATGTGACTGAATGCTGAGTTGATCCTTTCACAACACACAGAGATCATCAATCATGCACTGACAGCAGAATCATCCTCTGTTACAGAAATAACATAACTGTGATCTAAAGAATCAGAAAATCACATAAATGATGTTCCAGCCATGCTGTATCATGCACTACTACAGTGGGGGCATTTCAGGAGACTCAAACATGCACAGTCAGGTGCAATGACACTTTATATCTACTGTTACACATCAGGAATGTCTTTTTCAACATTACTCTCTAATATCATGATTGTCTTTTTTCCACTGGTTAGCAAACTGCAATAGCAACATGTCACCATAAGGTGGCAGCCTTAAACCAGTCCAAAAGTCTGTGTGTAGACAGTATGTGCATGCGTGTGCGTGCAGGTATTGATAGTATGTATAGGTGTAAAAGTTTAATTTAAAAGGTGTAGTTGTTTTTTCGCCCTCTGAATGATGGAGTAGGACTTTTGTGTACCTTGGTCTTGTCCTTGTGATGCCGTCTGAATCGCAGTAGCTCTTTATGTTGCCTTGACACAAAGTTGACAGCAGCATACTCCAACAGTGCAGAGAAGACGAAGAGAAGACACACTGCCATCCAGATGTCTATGGCTTTGACATAAGAGACCTGTAAACACACACACACACACACACACACACACACACACACACACACACACACACACACACACACACACTTCATTGTGTCAATCTGTTCACTTTTTTCTGTCTTGTGTAAACTTGGTATAGATGATCCTGCAATGCAAATGAGAGATTCAAGGTATATGACTGTCTTTATTTAATTTCACGTTCAGGAGTGTGTGTTGGGGGGGGGGGGGGGGGGGGTCGACTTGCTAGCAGAGATGCAACTGCAAAAGTCTGCACCGTTATCTTAACACTTCCAGTAACTGTGGCTTCTGCTGCACACTCTTTTTCCAAACTAAAACTTATTAAATCTTACCTGACGAGCTCAGTGGGACAGACCCGTTTATCTGGATTACCACAAACTATCAATCAGAACGCCCGTGCCTGCCAGCTGGATTCAAAGGGTTTAATAAATGACATTGCAGAGCGAAAAGCTCAGAGTACGCCTGTAATGTAAGTAGAAGGTATTTACTGTTTATTTTACTAATAATCAATCTAGACTACACACTTGTGTTTTTTATAATGCCTATGCTTAGACAAGAAACAACAACAAGGTCAATGGTGCACTGTCACTGATCATCATCTTTGTTTTATATGTGTGTCATTGTGCGATGACACTAATAGGATCATGTTTTCACATGTGTGAAGGCGTGCTGTCACCGGTAATGTTTTTTTCGTTTTAAAGGTGCGTGCTTTCAGTTATGTAATCCACTGCTGACATGTTATGTTACTCTGATTGTTGCAAGACCATCTTGCATTGAGGCGATGAAACTGCAATGTTTGTGTTAAATGTTAAAGTAGATATGAGCAGTGGAGACTGAAAACGTTAAAGGAATGCGATTCTGACGTGTGTGTGCGTGTGTGTGTGTGTATTTCATGCCATCCCTGCACAAGTAAGCGCCCACCTGTGCCACCCTAGTTAAAAAATGTCTGGACACGCCACTGCTAACAATATTCTATATTATAATAGGGTTCCAGCAGCTGCCCGTGGCTGTGGCCACTGATGCTGGTGGTGTCAAAATTACTTATCCTCATTCCTGAACTAATGACTTATTCAGACATGTGTAACATACTGGAGTGCAAAGTTCTGTTAAGCGCTAGAAACATGAGAAACCTCCTAACCTATAAACATGCCCACACAGCCTCAGCCATGTTGCTGAGGTGTGTGTGTGTAGAGTATGTGTGAGGGAGATGGAGGTTTTAATAAGGGTTATGTAACAAAGGGCTCCATGTCGGATTTTTTCTCATGCATACAAGATACCAGAACAAGACTAAGGGGCTGTTTCTCACACACGCTCTAGCAGATGCATGATGTGTGGAATAAACACATACTTGTGCTTACCCATGCAAAACATCCACTAATAAAAATTTTTAGGTCTCTAGAGAGAACACATTAGCTTTGCCACACACACACGCAGTCTTTGTCCACCTCTTTTCCCAGTCACTAACCTATGTAGTGTGTATATATTATGTCCTCCTAAATATGCAACTATATTTTTATCCAGTATATATGCTGCACCTGGCCTCAGAGTTTAAGCCTTTGAACCGGAGGAACACAATCTGTCTGTGCATCCATGGTTAGTCCACAGCAAATGGGCTCAATTCAATTAAATGCATTGAGCCTTTATTGGCATGGGAAACCTGAATGTAGAAATACATAACGGACAAATCTTTAAATGTGTACATTGATATTCATTTTGCTCCAAGAGTGGGAAATACTATTTTAACTCAGGCAGCCCTCTTTTTTGCTTTTGCTCCACACATCTGCAAATGTGTGCGGCGATTTGTCTGTGCGCCTCAGTAGTAATACAGCCTACACACTGTACCACCAGTGTTAGCACCCAGTGATTCAGTAATTCACCTAACCTGCATGTGTTGGGACTGTGGGAGGAAAGTGGGGCACCTAAAGGAAGCCAACACCAATACAGATGAATCATAAATATAAATAAACACTGACCTTAGGCAGTGAAGTCCTGGAGCCTGAGCTCTGTGTTGTCATCGTTAGGACAGTGGTGATGCCCAGTGCCACTCTGGCCGGTGCAGCATCCATGTTGATCCAGAAGGAGACCCAGGACAGAATGACAATGAGCAGAGAGGGGATATACATCTGGATCAAGTAGTAGCCCATCTGACGCTCCAGGTGGAATCGCACCTCAATACAAGTAAATTTACCTACAACAAAGCAGAAACACGCTAAAAAAATCTTCACTTAGTTAAGATTACATGTTACAGTTCTCAAACAGAATAATCAGCAACCAGTTTTATGATCAAGGTGTTCTGTTCTGGAATATCTGGATCTACTAACTTCTCTGAGCCCCCACCCGCATTCAGTGTCCCAGGTCAAAGACACCACCTCCATGCTGGTCTACTGTCTATGGTCACATCCCATTTAATGAAAAGACCATACTAGTCTGGATGTCAGTATGTTTGTTTCTCCCTCTTACAGCTTCCCTCTGTGTGCATGTTGCTTTGTGCTGTGATGCTTTTGGCAGTGTGTGTGTGTGTGTGTGTGTGTGTGTGTGTGTGTGTGTGTGTGTGTGTGTGTGTGTGTGTGTGTGTGTGTGTGTGTGTGTAACCTGTGTTGTAGTGCTTGGTGCAGTATCTGAGGTCTGATTCATCTTTGAGGATGAACTGGGGGAGAGTGAGGCCTTCGGCCACTTGGACTGGCCCGTTCTCCTGCCACTCAAAGATCAGGTCGTTCATGGTGTAACCAACTGAAAAACACAAACCACTAGGCAATTCAATAATCAGTCAGTAATAAAACATTATGCAACATAAAGCTCATGGCTGTGTCAAATTTATTTTGGGTTTCAGCTTCAGGACATCTACATGCCAAATGGCAGTTATAGTCATTCCGGCTTCATGAAGTAAGACCTGTGTGACACTTGAAATACTGGAATGTATAGTTAGAGGGCGTTCTCTACACACAGGATACAGGAAGTGCCATTTAACTCCTTCATTCAGGTCCCAAAACACAACAAAATTCAGAGAGCTGGAGCGAGGGCCTGTTCATCGCTGCTTGAAGCTTTACTTTCACTTTATTTTGAAGCAAGCAGTCTCACAGAGGGAATGTTGGCTCATTTAAAGTACTGTTTAGCCAAATATCTCAGTGTAGCAACTTCTTGCCCCCAACCTCCCTGTGTCTGCAAAGACTGGATATTCAGACACTGTTTTTATTAATACAAGCATCAAACACTTTTTCAGTGTAGTGAACACAAAGATGTCTCCCACATTTCACTGGCACTCTGCAACATTTACGACTCTGTGAAATTCCAGGGGGGGGAATTAAACAAGCCTCACTGAGACCTGCCAGACTCCCTTTTCTTTTTATTAGATAGTAAAGATGTCACTGTGAAGACCTGTCAGGCAAGGAAAGAACTCCTCACCCCTGAGAAGATGGTCCTGTGGTGCAGAAGTAAGTCACAACAAGATGTGAATATCCATGCCGCTCCTTATTTGCTTCAGCAAAGAGGAGACTAAACACACACTTTCCTCTCAGCTCACATGTGGCCTGAGAAAAGGTTTGCCAAACAACAATTATAAAAAGATGGAAATACACTATACAATTTATTTTGAGCCAGGTTTGATTTTAAAGGTCCAGCGTGTGATATTCAGGAGGATCTAGTGACAGAAATGCAACATAAGATCCATCACTATGTTTCCAGTGGTGCATAAAGACCTGACGTGATGAACCGTTGTGTTTTTATTACCTTAGAATGAGACATTTCTATCTACAGACACCGCGGGTCTTTTTACATGGAAGTCACCATGTTGCGCCGCTGTGTTTCTACAGTAGCCCAAATGGACAAAATTCCATAAAGAGCGCTTTTCGTTACAACATTGAATATGTACAAAGAAGAAGAAGTAACGTTAGTAGTAGTAGAGATCGACTGGTTTATTAAAAGTAAGAAGAGAATAACGAATGCACCATGAGTTGCCGGTTGCGATTTGTAACACTCACCACTAGATGCCACTTAAACTTAAAAGCCTTAGAAATAATCTGCTTTCTAACTAATAAGAAATCCAGATAAGCTTTCTCAGGTTGTTTTGATTTTGTTACTCCACTGTCATCTGCTGACTAATGGACAGAAATCTCCACCATTTTGAATCTGTATAATTGTTAACTATTACACTGTAACATGTAGAGCAAAACTGTGCTGTTTAACATGTATTAGTTGTGTTAAAACATATGTTTGATAGTCAAAAGTAGTTAAAAGTCTCAAGTAAACGGATCTGCTGAAATAAACTGTGGTTCTCTTTTAATGGTTGTCATTTTCATGTTTTGAATTAGGATTAATTGACCATAGTGAACTCGAGTATGTGAGTTTTATACATACAACTTTAATTAAAATCACTAGTCAGGACACCGGAGAAGACTACGTTGGCTCCACACCACGTGAGCCCTTTTTAGACAAAGGGATATAGTTTTCATTGTGAAACCCTTCATCCGCACCCCAAAACTCCTCCTAAGCCAGGCTGGCCCTCACCTATTATTTAAATAATATGTATATACTAATAAAATGAATGCCTCATAACTAAACTGAAGGGAGTTTCATTACTTTGTTTTAGTAATAGCCGCAATTTCTTAGTTTTAGTCTTATTTATTTGACGTGACTTGTGACCAGGAGAACAGCTCGTTCTTCCAGCCTAACCTGAGGCCCAAGCGTGACTGCACCTCCCCGCTGCATGGCGGCCGGAGAGCCAGCTGGAGCATCTCATCAGCTCTGCCAGCGCTTCAAACAGTAGGCGGAGAAACGCTTTTTTTCCTGTGATAAACAGTTGATGTTGAATAACATATTTTAATTCCCTTTAGAGAAGTTAAATGCCCTGGCATTACAGATCAGGTTTATTTCATCATTATATCTGCTGTTCATCTGTAAGGTGTGTTTCTTTTCTTTATAAATCCCCATTTATTCATTAATTAAAATATTTAGCTATACACATTTAACCAGTAAGAAGTTGTCCATCTGTTTTCTTTAAAGCAGAAGACAATTTCAATTCTTTCTAAAGAGACTGTTAACATTAATAATCAAGTTACTGAACCTGGTTTGTTTTCCCTGTTTTCTATAAACTAGGCGGAGCTCCTTTATTAGGTACACCTTGCTAGTACCGGGTTGGACCTTCAGAACTGCCTTAATTCTTCGTGGCATACTTTCAACAAGCTGTTGTTAACATTCCTCACAGACGCAGTTGCTGCAGATTTGTCGGCTGCACATCGTCCCACCGCATCCCAGAGGAGCTCTATGGGATTGAGATCTGGTGACTGTGGAGGCAGTTGGAGTACAGCAGTGGTTCTAAACCCTTTTTGGGCCAGCGCCCCCCCCATCCATTATCCAGGTCCCTTAAAAAATGTTGGCTATTTTCCCTTAAAATTGCTGATTATTATTATTATTGTTTGTTGTTGTTACTATTGTTATTAAAAACATATTTATTACTTAAAAGTCATGTGAATACTACTTATTTATATTTAATCAATAAGCAAATGTTCCCAGAACTTTGTGTGAAGCCAGAGACTGTTTTATTGGATGGGGCACTTAATAAGTGGGGGGTCAGGGGGTCCACCCCCAGAAGATTTTGAGCATTAAAGACTTCATTTCCTGCATTCTGGTAAAAATTTCTGCTCCAATTTCTGCTTTTTCTGCATGGTGGAAATGTTTTTATATAAAGGGAAACACAAAATTGAGGTGACAGGTGACAACTCAAAATATAATAGAATATAATGCAGTAAAGATCTCAGGCATTCTTTACTGCTTTTAAATATGTTTCTCCTCCCTTCTGACTTAACACACATGATTTAGTCTTCCCTCCTCCTTTTGTATTTTTGTTTAGGGATTTAACCTCTATAAATGTGTTTGAGGCACATTTTCACCTCAGTGATAAATGAATTCATTTTAATTCAGTTATTGATTTTAATAACTCATCTGTTTTAACAGGTTTTCAGCACACATTCAAAACTTTCTGCACATTCAGAATCTCTCCCACAGTTCTGTGTCCTCTGATATGTCGAGAGAAAAAGTCTGACGAGGAGGTGCTCTTACAGGGGGAAAAAACTAAACTAACCGACAACACCTGTGATCAGGCAGAAATGTCACCACAAATCCACAATTAAGCTCCGAAATAGGGCAGCTCACGGTCCCTAACAGAGCAAGTTTGCGCTTCAGTTTTTAACGTTAAACGCCATGTGGGTGAAATTTTACAGATGATATTCTGACTTCCCATTCCCGTGAAGGCAGCATGTAAAAATACACGGTCTTGCCCAGTTGCAGTTGCACAGTTTTTTTTTCCCGTCCTGCCAAACAGCTGAGCAGCGCAGCTCTTGTCTGTCGTGTCTTGGTTGCTTTCCAGACTGTGACAGAACAATGTGGAGTGAAATACAAGTATTTATTACATTTGATAAACGCAGACGGGCCACGGCGTTTAAGAACTGTAGCTTGGAAAGGTGACTGCGTTGCGTGTGGAAATGTGTTCATATGCACATGCACAAAATTAAACTCCTCATACATCATTTTAAAACAAGACAGTGAAGTTTAGTAACAACTCTGGACTAATGCAAGATGGGAAGCAGTGGATTCAGATTAACTATTAAAATGTTGATTAGTGGGACAGACAGGACGATATGGATCACATCTCAGTAAATAATGAGCATCTCATATTCAGCCAAGTCATTTATATTTGAAAATGTATTGAAGGAAACCTGGAGGAGCCAGTTTGAATGGGCCTGATGCAGCTGATGACATTAAAATACAGAAAAGATCTATGATTTACAGTGGCTATGCTGAAGTTTGTCAGTAGAGTAGATGATGAATCATCAGCCAGTTCTGGAACAGACTCCAGCCAGTCAGCCAGTTTAAGCACAGACCCAGTCCAGACATCTTTAGCGGGTCCCACAGAGGCAGGTGAAACCCCTCCAGCCTCAGCCAGAGATCTACAGCCAGCATCAGGTACAAGCAGCTCAGACCCTTGTGGAACAGTTGCTGCTCCACCAAATGACCCAGCTGATTGGCCCCCAGTCTGATCAGACTTCATGCGCAGAGGTCTGTTCAGACCAGCACTGGATTCTTCTAGAAGAGGTTTCTATTCGGGCTTCTTACAGAGGGAGGACTGTAGTGAGAGCTTTGTGGTGTCAGGTATCAGGTGTGACCGTGCAGCAGCTCTGCTTTTGTCGCAGCCGGTCTGTGACCGAGTGGTGACGTAGCTGGTCGAGTTTTGCATCTGAAAACTGAGGAGAACTTTGCTCTGTGTGGGACTGTGAGCTGCACTTTATGAGTGCTGAAGTTAACATGTGGGTTAGTTTTGGTTTCTGCCTCCTTGTCTCATCTTAACATCCCCAGAGTCCCAAATGGGGTTCTGGTCAGACGGTCTGAAGGGGAAACTACCACACCAGCAGAGCAATAACGCAGACTAATCCCCCCACAGTAAAGGAAATATCCACTTATAATGCTGTATTCAAACCTGTCTTCAGTGAATTTAGAAAGATGGATTGTGTTTTGTTAGATCAATAGATTTTGATGTGTTGTACTTTTACTTTTGATTACTTAAGTATTTTTAAAACCAGGTTAAAACCTTTTTTACTTTTATTTGAGTAGGTTTATACTGGATGACTTTTACTTTTACTTGAGTAACATTTTTCATGTGGTATCTGTACTTTTACTTAAGTATAAAAATTGAGTACTTCTTCCACCACTGGATTTGAGCTTTACATGCATTATCCTGCTGAAATAGCAGGGCTCCAGATTAACTTTTTAAAATAGGAGCACTGTACACTGAAAAAACAAACTTTGTGGTATAAATATATTAAATTACCTAATTTCTACATTGTTAAATTAAGTTTCAGTGAGATCGACAATTTCTTAAGTAAACATTTACACATTTTATTCATGTAATACACTTATTGTGTAGAAGGAGTAGGTTTTACTATAGATATACACATACTATTTGAAAGCTTAATAGTTGCCGAATAAATACCTAAAAATACTAATCAAACACTGTCAAAAAAAACAATTGTGAAAAAAATATTCTGACAGCTGGGGCGCCAGAAAAATACCGTTAAATAACAACCTTGTAAAAGTAGTACGGTAATTTTCGATGATGACTATACAGTTTGTAACTTTCTTTTTACAAAGATTTTTGTGTAATTTTAGGGCTTTTAATGTTTATTGAACATATACATCTGTAAAAACAATTAAATTACCTATAAATATAGTTGAACACTGCTATAATACAAATAATCAGACTTAAATTTGCAGGAGTTTGATCTTGTAAATTAAATCAATGTTAAACGGCAAAATCCTGTTCTAAAACTGGTAATCGACTTTTAGATTATGTTCATTGGAATTTTTGACCATTCTTGTAGAAGCACATCTGTGAGGTCAGGCACAGATGATGTGCGAGAATGTCTCGCAGTCTCCGAGCTAATTCATCCCAAAAGTGTTCAACCAAACTCGTTCATCTGTGTCTTTAAGGACCTTGCTTTGCGCACCGGTGCACAGTCATGTTGCAACAGGAAGGGGCCGTCCCCAAAAGCATGAAATTGTCCAAAATGTCTTAGTATGTTGAAGCATTAACAGTTAATTTCACTGGAACTCAGGGGCCAACCCCCCCTCCATCAAACTCTACACTTGGCACAATGCGGTCAGGCAAGCAGCGTTCTACTGGCAACCGCCAAACCCAGACTCGTCCTTCAGAGTGCCAGACAGAGAAGCGTGATTTGTAACTCCAGTGAACACGTCTCGCACTGCGCACTGTGCGCAGAAACCGCACAGTTTCTGTTGTTCCACTTTGTTATAATACCACTAACAGTTGACCGTAGAATATTTAATAGTGATGAAATTTCGCAAATTTATTTTTTGCACAGGTGGCAACCTATCAAAGTACCATGCTTCAATTCACAGAGCTCCTGAGAGCGACCCATTCTTTCACAAATGTTTGTAGAAGCAGTCAGCATGCCTAGGTGCTTAATTTTATCCACCTGTGGTCAGGGAAGTAACTGGAACACCTGAATTCAGTGATTCTTTTGGCAATACAGTGTAAATCATTATATCACACAGCCCTATTTATTAATGGCAGTTATATTGTAAATCTAACACTGATGTAAGGGATGGCAAGCAAGTAAAGATCATCTGCCTTTTGCTTATTGCTCACACTTCATGTAGGAGCTGGTGGTGGAGGGGGAGTGGTTATCTGCTCTGTCATTTATGCAGCCAGGTAGCCACCTGACTTGAATTTGTCCCTAATTCTGTGTAGAGGGCTACGGACTAACACATCTCCATAATTTGGTCACCATACATTATTAAAGGAAACTTACTTAATGTCTTGCCAACCTTGGATAGAAATGCTGTTTGTTATGTTTGCCGTGTTTTATGTTTTCCAATTGAGCTACCTTGAGAAGCAAAATGGTTTCTTAAGGCCATCCTGAGGTGTTGATGTGCAAAGTCAGACGAATCTGAAAATGTTCTTTTGGCTTGCACACCAAAACCTTACAAACAACTGGATTCAATTGGACTGCCAAGAAAGAGTTGTGTTTGTATCACATTCCCACTCGTCTTTCTACTTACACATATTTGCATCTATTTTGTGTACCAACTTAATTTAATTGTGGACCTAACTCAGGTGCTCACAGTTGTGCACTGCCTTCCAAGGCCAGGTGGACCTAATTCAGCAATCAGCTGTAGCACTTGCGGGGTAGAATCAGAGGACAGAAAAGGAACATGTATGCATAGCACAGGGAAACACATGCAGCCGTAAGAACATTGACCAGATACAAAAACTGGCTTTAGAAAGTCAGAAAATGTTGTATTGAATCCAGAAAATGATGAAGTCTTTGGATTGTGCATGAAGTTCACTCTATGTAAAACCACCATTTTGGATGTAACGTTATCCCCTCTGCTTTGCCTTTCATATCTCTCTCCTATCAAAGCATATTAAGAAATACTTTCCAATTACTTTACATTCATTAATCTTGGAGCTGTGTCTGACAGTGTCCAAAATGTTCTTTATGTCGAACCAGTTGTGTTTCTAATGAATAGATCTGAAAATGTCATCAATAAAGTAAATAAAAACTAAACTACTTTAGTTTCAGGAGAACAATTCTTTACACTGAAATGTTTGACTTGTGTGGCCCATGTGTTGTGAGCATGGAGCTGAATAAATGGTCAGATAGTATCAGATGTGAGTATTTGTATTGTGGTGGTACTTTAAAAGGTCTGAGTTTCCACAAATTAAGTTAATTTAAGGAAATGTTGAAGGAAACTGTCACAAACTCAAAAGGGTTTTCCGGTCTAAGATAAATGGAGATTATATATATATATAAACTCTAATGTAAAATGTGAACATGTGGTAATTTTTAATTAAGAAAAAAACAGATTTAAATATGTTGGTTTGAACTTCTAAGTATTATGATAAAAGTAAACCTGTGAAATTACAGTAATTATGGCTGTTTTCAAAGATCAAAACTGTTTTCACAATGCTTGTAGACATTATACACTGATTAAAATAACATTTATTCTATGTTATTCTATGTCCATAATTAAAGAACACATGTTTTTTGTTACGGTTAACTGTTACTAATTGCACCAAGTTTAAGAAATGTTTTTACAGTATAAAACTGAAGTTTAACAGTGTTTTTTTTTTTTTTAAATAAGACATAATATTTGTGAAAATGCGATAAATTCCAGAATGTATTGGAACATTTTCTTTTAAATAACAGAAATTTTATGGTTATTCACAGCTACAGCTTTTTCATGTTATTTTACATTAGACATGTAAATTCAGTATATTTTTGCCATTTTTTGATATTTTCCTGTGTTTCCAAAATACAGGAAAATATCTGTGAAATAAAAAGGAATAAAACTGTAAAATTACAGATTTATTTTTTTACAGTGAAGTGTTTGAATCTAAGCATCCGCTTTTGGACAAGACAAAATACCCGCTATTTTAGTGGTATTGGACCAAAGCAGGGCAACTGTATCTGTTTGAGACACAGGTGATGCATGGCGGGGTTTTTTCGGGGGTAAGTAATTGCCTTTCTGTTTTACTTTTGTGATATCAGTGTTGTAGCACTCGAAACCGGTCTTGGTCTTAAGACCACTTTTTGATGGTCTTGGTCTCGTCTGGGACTCGACCGCATTTGTACTCAGTCTCGGACATTGAGGACTCTGGATTTTATTTCAAGACTGTAACTTTGGGAATATCCATAATTTTTTTTTTTTTTTAACATCCTAACTTTGAGTGGAAGTAAAACTTATTGCTTCAAATGCAACCAATAACCCTAATTAACGTCTGTCCCCCCTCCCTGCGATGCTTACGTTGATTTCAGCTCTTAGTGTTTGTATGTGGGTGTTTTTTAATGGGAATGTGGATCTTTCAGATCAATTTGTGAAGTACCTGTGATCACGTTCCACATTTTATTGCGTGCCATGCAATGCAGGGAACTGGTCTTGGTTTTGACTCTGTCTCGCCATCCCTCGGTCTTGGTCTCGACTGCTCTCAGCCCCTAAAAGTCTTGGTCTTGTCTCGGTCTCGATAAACTCTGGTGGTCTCGGTTTGGGCGCTCTTGACTACAACGCTAATCATTGCCACTATCTCAAGAGGTGCCTTAGAAAACCCAGGACTACAAAAAAGATGTGTAACTATGCTCAAAAGCTGATTTGTTTATTTAATTTCTATAATATAAAGATATAGAGTTGGCAAAGAGCGGGTAAGTTGAAAGAAGAGCAGAAGGGGAGATGTGTTTAACGTAAGCTGTGATTCTGCGTTAATGTTATTGATTGACCTGATGTCGGTCACCTCTGCTTCATTACCCTGCCTGCCTGGTGTGTGTTGTCCAGTTTTCAAGCCCTCAGTTCTGTTCAGTCTTTGTCTTGTCTTCGTCCTATGCAGAGTGTCGTGCCTGTTTCTGTGTTCTCGGATTATTTTGTTTGGACCATCTGCCCTGTTTGGATTTTGTTATTTTGATAATAACGGTTTGGACTTTGCCATGAACCTGTGTAAGCCTGTTAATAATTCCTTTTGTTTAATAGATTTCAAGAACTAGAACCTTATCTGTGTCTGCATCTAGGTCTGACCTCCTAGTCCTCCTGCTTCTGCACTCAGCCACTGTGATACTTACATAATAAACTGAATAGATTACTTACATAATAAAACATAACAGAATTATATTATCATTTTTATTACCTTAGAATGAGCCATTTCTGTCTACATACACCACGGGTCCCCTTACCTGGAAGTCGCCGTGTTTCTATTGTCGCCCAAACAGACCAACTGCTTTACAGAGTCAAAGTTTCAGTTTGAACCCTCGCCACTAAATACCACTAAAACCTACAAAGTGAACCTTTTAAAAGTTCTGTCATGCACCTGTTCGTCAGTAGTCTTTGTGAGGACTAAACTGAGTTTTAGAAGAAGGTAATGAGGACAATTTTTAAGCAAGAACATTTTTTTTGGTCCTCATATTGTGGTGGAAATTTAAAGGATTGTTCGAGGGTTAAGACTTGGTTTAAAGGTTAAAATTAGAATTTAGTTTAGTTTCAAGTAAGGATTAAGGTTGGGGTTAGGCATTTAGTTGTGATGGTAAAGTTTAGAGTAAAGCCTGGGGAATGCATTATGTCAATAAGGGTCCTCACAAGTAGAGAATTACAAACGTGTGTGAGTGTTCACTGTACTTACAGCTCTCCAGCTGCATGATACAGGTCTGAACGTCCATAGGGAAGTTTTTTAGATCCATGGGACATGAGAGAGTTAATGTTAGTCTGAAAGCGAAGAGAGAGGAGACAACAAGTAAAGAGTTAATCAAAGACAGGGTTTGAAGTTTTGCATAAATGTCGTACACATGTACAGTTTCAAAATGCTTTCATCTCTGCTTATTTTATATATGTATGAAGCACAGCTGCCATTTTACTCACTATATTTTTTTAATTGTCTAAATACATAATCTTTTATTTTTCATTAAATTCAAGTCTAGAGCAGGATTATTAGTTAACTCCACATTATCTATTATCTTATTCTGTTTGCATTATGTTGGGAATAAGCATGCTGTTGGTTAATGTACTGTAAAATAAAAAAAATATATTGGTAGATATTTTATAATTACAAAACAATGTTGTGTTGGAACAAAGTACATTTCTCATTCAGTGAGGTCCCCCATGCAAAGATAAATCCACATACAGAGCTATAGTATTTATGATTCACACTACAGATAATGTATTCCTCCAACTGACATCTTGTTTCCCTCTGTACCTGATAGGCGTGGGGGAAATCGATACAGCATAGTATCGTGATATTTGCCATGGCAATACTGTATCGATACACGGACGCCAAGTATCGATATTTCAGTATATAAATTGCAGAAGGGAGTTTTAACTTTTTGGTACTAGAATAATAAAATCTATTGTTATTTTAGTCCATTAGAAAACTTAACAGGACCATATAGAGGACTGAAAAAGTGACGTGAACAAACAGAGAAATGTCTCTTTTTAGATAAACAGATGTTGACAAAGTTTGACTTTAGGGACCTAATTGGAAGTTTGAAAAAGGTAATAAATTACAATATATCCCAATATATTTAAAATCGCAATATAAATATTGTGATAATATCGTATCGTGGCCTCTGGTGATTCCCACCCCTAGTACCTGAGTTACACTATACGCCTCTAGCCATAAAAGTGCAACATGAATCATGAACAGGGCGCCATAGCTTCTCAGTTTGGTCAAATTCAAGAGAATAAAAGTTTGTTGTAAACAGAACCTACTTAACCCTAACCCTACTTGTGAAATGATAATATCTTTGGTACACAGTATTAGTCTTTGGCAGCTTGAACTCTAAACATCAGGGCACTTACCGTATAGAGTACAAAACATTCCCATTCTTAAATATCCTTAGCAGTTTGTTGTCTGTAGTGACTTCGTGAAAGTGGGCCCCCTTTTCATTGGCAAAGAACAGATCTGGTTTCCATATGGAGTCTAACATAGATGGGTCCAAGTCCAGAGAGTCATCTGGGTACTCAGCATAGGCAAGCCTGGGGTCATTCCACTGCTGACGGAGGAAGATATTCACACGGTAGTCCTACAGACAAACAGAATAATATATACACATGACACACTATTATGGAACCTGAAGTAACTGGTTCCCATAACAAGTTTGCTGTGCCAAGTTCAGTTCAGCCCAAGTGCATGGAAGATTTTATACATGCGGATGACAGCTGTACACATGAGGACTACAGAAGGGAATTACAAGGTCTCTCTTTGATAATTCTGTTTTTAATTTAGTTTTACGCCTGTGTTAGATGAATGTAGAATGATCCATTTAAGATACATCCAGAAGGTGAAGCCTCCCTTGATATTTTATGCAATTTCTGAAACATAACCAATCATCCAAGCTGCTATATTTTTATCTTAAATCCAACCGGCTCAAGGTGAGCACTAATGAGACGTGCAAATTATTTCTAAAGTCCCATTTTGGCAAAAACCATTACATCATTTCACCACAGAGACTTGCTAACTCCTCTATCTGACTTTGATGACAAATACTATTAAACGAGCCATCTGGAGTGATATTTGATCACAGCACTATATTTAACAGCAGTTAAACCAACAGCTGGCAAACTAGCCGCCCTTCTTGGCTGCTAGAACCTGTAGAAAAGAGGCTCTCTATGTGGGGTTAGTACAGTAACAGGAGATAAACCTGGCTTAGATACGGGAAGGGGATGGCTATGCACGACACAGAAATGTAATCCTGGGTTTTGGTGAAGATTTTGACCATTTGTTTCTTTTTTGAATGATTCAAATGGCCCATGAGGGGAAAAAAAGCAGCATAAGCATCTGGAGGGAACATAGTTAGTGTCAAACTGGTCCCTATAAAGGGAACTGAGCGCCCTAATGCCAGTATCACTCTATGGCCCATTCATAAAGCCTAAATCCTGAACCCTTACAGATTTAGTAGATGTATCCTGGTAAGTGCTTGTATGCGAGAGGCTGCAAGTGTAATCGACTGCCCCTGAGTTGTACTGCACGGTCCTAACTCAAACCGGCGAGCTCGGGTACGGGAGGTGGACACACAGACGAGAAGGCTAAGGGTGCTTTCACACCTGCCTTATCTAGTTCGGTTCAATCACCTCCTTGAAGAAGTGGCCTCGGTACAAACTCTGGTGCGGTTCGCTTGTGGTGCAAAAGCAAACGAACCAAACACAGGATTTTATAATAGCAGAGATGTGATCTGAGCATTATTCCAAAGTTAAACCACTAACAAAACCGTCTGCAGCCCACGAAATGTGTTCAGTGATCTTATTATTGATCTGTATAAGCCGCTATGTTTCTGAAAATCATTTTATAAGGTATAGCCTACTTGTCAGTGCGGGTATTTCCCTGATTAAAAGGTTAAAATCTGTTTTTAAAAAAGAGGGCAAGTAGTACTCCGTTTACCCTGTCAGTTCATTAAGTGTGACAGCGATACCACAGTATAGAGAAGAGAATAAGCCCATAATTATTCCTGTACATGTCCTGTTTTTAGGTTATTATTCATAATAGGCTATGCGGTCGATCTGCTGTCTGGCATTACTAATCATGCTTATTATAAATTATTACGATTCAGAACAGAAGCAGTAAAGTGCTGCATAAACTTCTGTCAGTCACCGGAGTTTGATTTCCCCACGTGGGTCCTGATGATGCAGGATGACAATCGCCAAAACTGTCCAATCAACAAGTCACCTGTAAGTCTGCGTAACGTCATGGTTACTTCTCTGTTTCGTTTCGTTTGTGAAACTGCAGTGTGAACATGAACTAAAATGAAACAGTGTATCATTTTTTTCACTTGGTCCGGACCAAATGAACCGAACTAGAGGTGTGAAAGCGCCCTAAGACACATGGGTACCAGCGTCGGTTGCCAGTTCCTCTCTTAAGGTGTCGGGGAGTGAGGTTTATTCACTGCACAGCCTCTCTGGCTTCCGTCACACAAGGGCCCGAAATGGTACTTATGTTACCTTGACTACACCGAAACGTGTTACATACAATTGCGGCTTAGGGAGTTTTTATTTTATATTTTTTGACTTTCTTGAATGCATTTCATGCTCTTGACATACAGAGTGGTGGTTTAGAAACTTTTTTTTTTCAAATCTGCATCATACACTTAGATGTAAATTTCTTTATCCAGAGGTATTTAATAAAAAAAAAGGATTTAGTTGTAGTTGCTCCTTCCATGTTTGTTTGTACCTTTCGTAACACCTCCTGTTTAACGTCACAATGCTATGAACTGTGGGTAATTCCCTCAGGCAAAGTCTGCAGAGACGTGGACTTACAGAGAGTGTGCATAAAGGGCTCAAAGTCCTCATGGACTTGACGATTTGACAGTAGGACAGCCCTAAACCCTCACAGGGAACGAGCCTCAAAGTCTGTGAATGTGGAGTTTTTTTCAGAATGCACTATAAAAGGCAGCGATAATCTCTGCTCACTATGCTCACTGACTGGAAGTGATATCAAAACGCTTCCCCTTCACTACTTTTCCAACAGAAGCAGAGTCACACCACAGAGAACACAGAAGCAGCTAATGAAATTAAGCAAGGGTGGGTTTGATTTAGATGTGACAGTCATACTAATTGTTGCCAATGCTTTTGGCTGCATGAGTCAAACATGCAAATTTAATTTTACTTATATTGCGAAAAGAGTCACCTTGAGAAGCCAGTCTGTCCTCAACAGAAAAAACAGAGGAATAGCTTGATAATGCAGCAGCTTCTTACATGTATGTTGTATGGTTTTAATGAACACACTGTGTAAGGGTTAGGGTTCCATCATATCAATTCAACGCTTTCATGGTGCAGCAGTGCATTAGCTGATTTTACTCAACTCTGGCTGGTTATATCAGATGTAATTGGTGTGGACAGCTGGATGTGCAGGCTTTCTTTTCGTTTGACTGCTGCTTTTAGTGTCTTTACTGTATTTTAGCGACTTGTTGAGGCCGACTCCTTACTCGTTTTCTGCTTCTTCTTGTCTATTTGGAGGAGGTTTGCGACTCACTTCAGGAAAAAACATTAACTTTCAATCCAGTTCTTCAAGGTTTATTGAACCAAAGTTAACAAAATTATTCTCCGTGGTGGACTTTCAACAAATCAAAAACTTAACTTATATTTCTTTTCCACAACAGTAGTCAATGAACTATTTCACTCCTCTCATTCAAATACAAAGAAACCTCCTGAGCTGTTGTCATTCTTCTGATTATACGTGTGTGGATGACCTAATTAGGATGAGGAGCGACCTGATACAAATTACCAATATTTTTATATGACAGTTATTTAAAACAATAAAAAAGAAAAGAAAATATATCACATTGCTTGTCCTTACTATGGCTGCAACAGGTAGCATTTTACACAAGGTATTGAATGAATTACTCTGTTGGTGAAAGAAAGAGATGAGCTGACGGTGGCTTCTCACAATACTTGGGTTCAGGAAATCACCACCTCCTACTGAAGTGACGAGTCAAGTCACAAAATAGTCCAGAATTTCCAGTTAAGATTGCTTTATTGCCAAATTGTGGTAGATAGTGAGTGTGTGGCTTTGAAATGAGGAATGACATATTACAAAGTAAGACAACACATTACAACCCATTAAACCAGTCATAATAAAGAACTAAACGAGAAAAATAAATAAATAACACCACTATACTTAGAACGGTCACAAGGTGGCACCAACAGACCACTGTGCTGCCAGCTAATCACCTTTTACACACTAAATGATCCCACTACAGAAAACAGTTGGCAGCTGGGCAGCTATTAATAATAAAAAAGGATCTATTGAATGTAATAACATTAAGCACAGGCCTAACTGACATGATTATTTAGCCAAGAAATGGGGAAGACTCTACCCAAACTATAATAATGAGACTTAACAGTCGGAAACAAAGGCATTAACACTCTTTCTGTAAGTTCATTGGAAGTCTCAGATCTCTCAATGATCCTGTGAACTGCACTGGGCAGACGGAACATACCACTCTAAGAGGGGGGCGGAAAGTACCACTTGAAGATAGGGGGTGGAAGGTTCCATGTGTTGATGGCCTTTTTAACAATTGGTATCGGTATCACTTGAAGGGAACTGGATTTGGGACGGTTATTGCAAATTTTTAAACAATTACCAGCACTAACAAATACACAACGAAATGCAGTTTAGAGGAAACCGTTGAACATAGTAGCTTTACAATAGCATTTATAACAAGCAATAGGACGGCACTGATTCCAGATCAGGAGAACAGTGCTGTTGAATCACTGTGACATCATTGCATCGGCCACTACTGATGTAAAAACAGAGACGGATGGGGGTGGCGATGGAATAGTGGATAAGACACATGCATTACCCCTAGTTGCTCCAAACATACACCACTTTAATAAACCTGTTCAATTGCTTGTTAACACAAACAGCTAATCAGCCAATCACATGGCAGCAACTCAGCCGTGGTCAAGACAACTTGCTGAAGTTCAAACCGAACATCAGAAGGGGCGACAAAGAGGATTTAAGTGACTTTGAACGTGATTACGAGTGGTTATTTGAGTTACTGTTGCCTCTCTGTCATGTAGAACCAGTCTGCCCTATTCTCCTCTGACCTCTGACATCAACAAGGCATTTTCGTCCACACAACTGCCGCTCACTGGATGTTTTCTCTTCTTCGGACCATTCTATGTAAACCCGAGAGATGGTTGTGAGCGAGATTCCCAGTAGACGTCAAACCTTGAAGGAGACGGGCTACAGCAGCAGGAGACCACACGGGGGGGCCACTCCTGTCAGCTAAGAACAGGAAGCTGAGGCTACAGTTCGCGCCAACACAGTCTCACTCCCTACTCGTCAAATGTCTGACGCATGGTCAAGGCCCTTTGTCGTCGCTTTTAAAGACTTGGGTAGGCCTTTTGCATCAATTATTGACGTTCAGGGATCCACAGTCAAGTTAGCAACGCTTAGCAACAATAAATATGCAATATCCGGTTACACTTTCAAGATAAAACGTAACGTTTCGATACATTGCCATGTTGAAACGCGCATAATTAAAGTCGTGAAACGTTGCAGTTTCACAGAAAGTACTTGGTTGGG